CATTTTGAGATATAAATCTTAAAGAATCAGCTTGTTTATTTTCTTTTCACCGTAACATCATTAATAGAAACTAAAGGTTTTAAGTTCTGTCTTTGTATTTTTCCTTCAAGGTTCCTGCCAATCCTTTCCTAAAATCGTCTCAACTTGCTATTACGACTACTCCTCAGATAGTGAGGACACTACTTTCCTAAGCCTTCCTGGCTGGAGGCCTCTTCCCTTCAACACATCGTGGCCAAATGCTTTACAAATGTGCCCAAAACCTTGGCGATACCAATCAGCAGCAGAACTTCGCAACCATCCTATCCAGGCGGCATACAATTCATATGAAGGGGGTGGTTATGCAGCTGTTATGGGATATGACGAAACCACTGCACAAGGTGTCCTCGACGCAACTATTGGCCTTGGTTGGCTTGATCGCCAGACTCGAGTTGTAATTCTAGAGTGTGCCGTTTTCAATATCAATACAAACTTGATTAGCGTTGCCACATACTTTTACGAGGCCATAGCTACTGGTGCAGCCTACACTACAAGGAGAATTGAAACACTGGAGTTGTACAGCACTGAGTCAGGAGCTCTGATGTTTTTCCTAATTGGCCAGTTTCTGTTCATGGCAATGGTCCTCTTTTACTTCATAGTAATGTTAGTTCACCTTTATCAACAACGCTTAGGTTTCTTCAAGTCTGTTTGGAACATGGTGGATTTCTTTATGATTATTTTCTCTGTAGCCTCTGTAGCATTTTACATGATCAGAGCTAAAAGCGTTTTGAACACTATCAAATCTATTCAAGCCAATCCATATGAAATCGTGCATTTCCACACAGCCCTGGATTGGCTTAATCTGGAAAATGCGTCTATTGCTTTGGCTGTTTTCTTGGTGACAGTCAAGCTTCTAAATCTAATCCGTTTTAACCCACACGTAATATACTTGTTTTCGTCTTTTCGGCAATCTATAGGCTATCAACTCTCCTATGTGCTCTTTTTCCTGATCGTGTTTAATGCATTTGTTGTAACAGGCATGCAGTTTTTTGGTGGTGTAGTATTAGAATATTCCAGTTACCTCGATGCAGTCATGTCTCAGTTCGAATTCCTGTTGGGAAAAGCAGTCCCAGTGGACGCTCTTCGAAGGGACAGACCCTTCATTGGGCCGACTTTTGCGTTTTTGTTTTGTATATCCACAAATATATTTCTTATGAATATGCTTGTTTCTGTCCTCAACGAATCATACGGTGACGCAAAATCAAACGCAGAGGAAAATGCAAAAGAGCTTGAAATGGCACGTTTTATTGAGGAGCGTCTAATGAACGTTTTCCACGAGGGAAGTAATCAGACTGAGTTTAAGTTGTTTTGCGATGAGACAATATTCGTCAACATGTGCCTTTCTGAAGCAGAGCCATTCTGTTTGAATTCTGAATGTATTGTCCAGTGTACAGAGGAACGAATGCTAAATTTGGAAAAAAGACTAATCGTTCTCGCTCGACGAACAGAGTACATGGAAGCTGATTATTTGCGAGAGGAAAATGACTTAACTGACCTGTTGTTATTAATGATAAATCCTTCGGTGCGTGATTCGGAAAAGAAATCAAAAGATCATTTCTAAATGCAGAGATATCTTACTGTATAATTTAGCCTAGTTTTCTTTCATTGAAATTGTTTTTGCTTTTCTTGGAAGCGTAGACATTATTGAATGTTTTTTAGGTAATTGTATCCAATAAGGCTTGATGATATATTTCCAGCACAAAAATTAGCAAATGAAATAAACGACGTTTTTTCGTGGCCGAAAGTCATTGTAAATTAGATGTTTACCTTAGTGTTTGCATCATGCAAGGATCTACGATAATATTATCCGCATAAAGTAGCAAAACAGTAACAGTGACAACACGTGACTATAAGGAACATTTTTATTTAACACAGTTTTGCTCTGATTGAGTATTGGCTATTGGCTTAAGATGTCTGATATATGACATTTCATATATCAGGCAGTCAAGAGTACTCCTGCATTTCTTTAACATATTAAAATGGTCTTTGAGGTTCATTGACTCCATACTGTGTTGAAGTAGAGGCCAACGAGGGTAGCCGATATACTGCCTAATATATAAGATAACACAGCCACCAAGTTTTTGTAATGTAAACCGAGCTTCCCGCTCCAAAGGCATGCTTTTGACACTAAAATTCCCTCCAACCAAGGAGTTTTAGCTGAGGTGTGCAATGCAATTAGAAGGACTGGGAACTAGTCTGACCATGAGGTTAAAAAACCCGCCATGTTGTTTTGTCGCATTAGAATAAGTGTTACTTTTGCTAAATTAAATGAATTAAATTTATGAAGAATTTTTTTGTTTCGAACTCCAAACTCGTTGGGAAGAACATTTTTTTTAGCAGAGCGAGGTTCTCACCGAGAATTAGGAACATGGAACATCTGAAGAAAGAGAAGATGAGATCGAAGTGCTCGTACACAAGGAACCGAGACAAGTTGATGATGGCGATGGAAGGAGGACTATCGTCAAGAATGTTTTTTGCAGACGCCCGTGAAGATGTGCTTCGAGCCTGTGGCAAGATAGAGAAGTTTTACGAGACTAAAAAGGATTCAGGAAACCTCAGTGCGGTTTCGAACGAACTGAAAGCAATCGAAGAAGATTTTAACGAAGTCGAAGGAGTTGTGAAAGGATATTTGAGCAACGCTAACAGATCATCAGTCAAATACCAAACGGAACGACTAAAGGAAGAAGTATCCAAACGACAAGAATAAATCGGCCGAAGCGAACGAGAAATCGAGCGAACGTATGCGCTGTGCAAAAGACAACTTGAACAGAGCCTTCGTAACCAGAATCCACCAACAGAGGTAGACCAGGGGGCGGGAAAAAACTGCCAGCAGTGAAAGATGCGACCAAGAGCGAGATGCAGAAGCGAAATCAGAAGACCTGAAAAAGATTCCGATGCCCAAAGAGCTGTTGAACGAACAAAATTCTGATCTTCAAAAGCTACCCGTTGTATCTTTGAATACTCTAAATACAAGCGCTTCATATGCTATAGGAAAGGTGACCGGATTGTCGAATCGTTCACCGAGGTTGTTTATTCGTCTACTCCAATTGCACCGTTACTTCCTCCGAATTCGATATCATCTGTGCCTTCTATGGTGGAACATGGACTTCAGTTTCAACAGTGAAGGTCAGCTATACCTGTGGTGCCGCTCGAAAGTCAAACAAATCAGTTAAATACTTCTCAGTTTTGCACGGTAACCACGCCCTTGCTAAGTATGTAAGACCATCAATGCAACAGGTACCCTTTTTTGGAGACTACTGGCAACAAAACCAGCTATCTTCACTGTCCACTTCAGACCAGATCAGTGCCGATTCTTTTGCCCTACGAAAAAAAGTAAGTGTCCTTAACGTCTTTGGCCAAAAGAACAATTATGAAACCTGGAAAGCGGCCAGCGGAAACATTTGAAGAGTATTAAGTTCCCACGAGTAGGACCCAGGTACATCGCTGACCTGCTCATTGGGGTGGATCAGGCTAAATTGTTGTACTCATTGGAAGGTGTTACAGGAAAGCCAGGAGAGCCCATTGCTAGACTGACACCACTGGGATGGACTTGTATTGGAAGGCTTGAGATAAAAACAGACACAGTTCAAACCAATTTCACATTTCTTGTGAATCAGGACTTTCACGAACTGAACAATCCTGTTCGTCGATTCTGGGACATCGAAGAGTCCAAAGAAATTCAGATTGTCAAAAAAGAAAAGAAGCTAACCGAGATTACACTTGCTGAAACCCAGACCCTTGAGGATGACTGTAATAATGTCAGTTCGCTGCGGAAGACCAAAGACCATAAGTTACCTAATAATTTCGAAATGGCTTTCGACCGCCTGCAGAACAGGGATAAACGACTTCAGAAGTCCCCAGACCTTGCAAACGCTTACACTGATGTACTTCAGACACATTGTGACAAAGGGTACATCCATAAGGTGTCACCAGACGAGGAGAAACCCAACCAAACCTGGTATCTTCCCCACTTTCCAGTTCTGAGGCCAGATAAATCCACTACGAAGACCGGATTCGTATTTGACGCATTTGCGAAATATGAGGATGTCTCTCTCAATGAAGTTCTGCTGCAGTTTTTTTCAAGGAATCCTGTGGCCTTGATGTGTGACATCACAGAAATATTCTTGCAAATTTAAGCTAAAAAACCAACAGACTGACCCTATAATCGCTTCCTGTGGCGAGACTTGAAAACTGAAGAATATCCTGATGTGTTTGAGTTTGAGCGTGTTGTATTTGGAGTAAATTCATCCCCGTTTCTGGTGCGGTTTGTCACACAACAGCATGCAAGGGAACATCATGCAGAGGTTCCCCTCGGAGCCGACACAGTCCTGATGAGTACCTACATGGATGACAGCATGGACTCAGTTCCGGATTAGGACACTGGAATCGAATTGTACAAACAGCTCTCGAAATTATGGGCTATGGCCGGAATGTATGCGAGGAAGTGGTTGTCTAACGTACCAGAATTGTTAGAGTACATTCCACAGGCTGACTGTGTAACGGAAGTGGACCTTGATAAAGGATAACTGCCTCTTGTGAAGACTCTACGAGTGTTGTAGTCACCCAGCGAAGACGAATTTAAATACCAATTGAACCAGCCCATCGAAGATCACAGCAGCACTTAATGTGCGTTTCTGCGAAAGATTGCCACCTTATTTGACCCTTTTAGGTTCTTAGCACCCTATGTCCTTCGAGCAAAAATAATATTGCAAGAAATGTGGGAGAGCGAAGCTGACTGGGATGACTTGGTGGAAGAAAGCTTGGTCAACAAGGCTCAACAGTGGTACGAAGAACTTTCAGCGCTTCCCTGTCTTCTTGTCCCTAGATGTTTGCGGGCCGAAACAACAGTCAGAGGTATTGTATTGTATTGTATTGTATTCATCGCTTTAAAACTCTCGCGCCGGTTCATCGCTCGAATAACATTTAAAATTGTTCGTATTCTTAAAATTATTTCTTGTCTTAACTTTTGGAATGTTTAATACAGTCGTAATGTTTAGGGAAAATAAGTTAAATTACGGATTATGTCTTGTTTGGAAAGTCTTAAAATGATGGCGAACGGCGTGAGCAAGTTTCTATCATTCTCTCCTCAGTTAGCTATCGCATGGTTTAAATTATTCATTTTAAAAAAATGTCGCTTTGTCGAAGATTTGTTGTTTTACTCTGAGAAAACACCATCCAAAACTTTTCAACTTATTAAATAGAGCCAATGACAACGTCAACCCAGTTTTTAAACCAAAGAGAAAACTTAATTAATGTTTGGAAATGATTTCTGTGATGTGGAAATGAAATCCAGGTATTATCTCGCGTTTTTTTCTTGAAGACATCCACATTATATGCGGTTACACCAGAGGTTACCGAATCAAACAACAGAAAATATCAGAAAAAGAAGTCGTATATTTCCAACCAGAGGACAATCATGAAACAATAGCCGAAAGCCAAAAGTTAAAAAAATTCAGGTTCAAACACGAGTTGAAAAGTACTTTTCTTTTTAATTTCCTACGCTAAACAGAGGAGGCTGAAACGTTAAGAAAAAACGGTGGGGCAAGCAATCATACCTGGCAACTTCAAAGGAAGATATAAGAGAAGCCCATACGATTCTGGCGTGTTATTTTACTGACTAGCTGTGCTCACGTGTATACACTCCAATTGAGTTGTGATGTCTTAACGCAAAGTTGTTTACCGTCGTATCTTTCAAGTTGGACTCATTTTTCAAACCGAAATTATAAGTTACGCTTAATAGAATATAATTTAAACCGATGCTGTTATCATACACTACATCTGAAGAAGATAACATTCCCAATCTTCGAATATTTGCTCAAAACATCAGGAACAACGACGAAGGTCCTAAGCTGTATGAAGATACAGCTGACTATAGCATACGTGTTTTGAGAACATCGTCCCAGGTTCCAGACTTCGTCTGATCTCTTATGCCTACGAGTTTTATTATGGTTTTTTAGCAGTGTATGGCCTTGATACTGATTCTTTCCTAAACGGATTCTTCCGAATTGTGTCTCCACCTGGCCTTCCAACATATGTCCTATCAGACAATTGAACAAATTCTATTGGAGCAAAGAATGAATTGCAAGAATTAGCGGCCCTATTCAGAGAAAAGGTGCAGGAGAACACAGCAAGCTATGGTGATAAATAACACTTCAATCCACCCCTTGCCCCTAAATTCAGTGGCGTCCACGAGGTGATGATCAAGGCGGCAAAGAAAGCTATCTGTGCCATTCTAAACAGGGCTGATATCATAGATGAAGAGCTCCTTAGTGCAGAAGTTGGAGCTAAAGGACTGATTAATTCACGCCCATTGACCTACCAATCAGTAAACTCACAGGATCTGGTACCTCTAACCCATAACCATCTTCTGCAAGGGCACTTGGGCGACCGGTTTGTTCCAGAAACTGTGGACAGTACAGGTTTTAATCCCCGCAGACGTTGGAGAAGAGTCCAAGAACTTGTTCGCCATTTTTGTCATCGATGGCTGAAAGAGTGGTTGCCCAGTTTGAACACCGAGCAGAAGTAGTTTCGGGATCAGGGGAATTTCCAAGAAGGAGACGT